CCATGATTTTTTTTAAAGCTTAAAATAGATTTACTCATTTATTCAACAAACATTTGCTGAGGATCTGTTTGGCTTCTATTCATCCTCTGGGTCTCAGCTCAAATGTCAGTTCCTTACAGAGGTAGGCCCTAAACATCTTTCATTGTCTCTTGTTGTAATCTATATTCTAAAGTAAAAATGGACTATTTTTGAATGGTATTTACAATTTTTTAATTGAAAAATGTACACAGCTTTTTAAAAAGATATTTAATTCCATTCTCTTGTTATGATAACATCTTTCATGACCAGGACTTACCTTTTATTTCCCCGATTAGTAAGACAGGGATCTTCTCTATTTTGTCTACCAATGAATTCTCAGTGCCTGACACAGAATGTGTTCTTAATAAATGTCATTGGATAAATAAATGTGCCAGGGACTGTAGTGACTGTGGTGCTATAATAGGGCTTTGGCCTTTGAAGAAAGAGGTTCATCTTTACCATCCAGCAATCATGATCCTTGGTATTTTGCCCAAAGAAGTTGAAAAGTTATGTCGATCAAGATGTCCTTCAGTAGGTAAGGTAGTTAAATAAACCATGGTCCATTTAGATAATGGAATGTTATACATCACTAAAAAGAAATGAGCTATAAAGCCACAAAAAGATGTTGGAAGAACCTCAAATATATATTCCTGAGTGGAAGAGGCCAGTTTGAAGAAGCTGCATACCATAAGATTCCAATGATAGGACATTCTGGAAAAGGCAGAACTATGGAGACGGTAAAAGATCAGTGGTTGCCAGGGGCTGGGTGGAGGACGGATGATTAAGCAGAGCACAGGATTTTTTGGATGGTGAGAATACTCTACATGACACTATAATGGCGGATCCACGTCATCATACATTTGTCCAAACCCATAGAAAGTATAACACCAAGAGTGAACCGTAATGTCAATCATGGATTTTGGCTGGTGATGTGTAAATGTAGGTTCATTGATTGTGACAAGTGTACCATCTGGTGGGGATATTGATGGGGGGGGAAGCTTGTTAGGGGGGCAGGGGGTTTATGGGAAATATCTGTATCTTCCTCTCAATTTTGCTGTGAACTTAAAACTGCTATAAAAAAACAAAGCCTTAAAAACCAAGAAGAGAATTACATTGTGGTAGTGGAGACAGACATACCGTCTCAGAGCAGAGTACAAATATACGCATTGGCCAGGCACAAGAATATGGTTCAAAATTCAGCTGACTGGTAGCTCCTTGTCTCCCAGAATGTGAATGACACCTCCTAGAATTTTACAGGGTATCCTACTGGGCCTTGTAAGGGTGTTCAATGAATTAAACAAACATGCACTGAATTCCTACACTATCTGGGTCCTGCGTCAGCTGCTACAGGCACATCCTTGTCCTCACAGAGTGAACAGTCTAGAGGGGAAGTGAGAGTTCAGCCTTCTTGTAGTCAACTGAGAAACCAGCAAATCCTGTTCTGGGGGCATTTGTTCAATGTGATTATGGGTCAGTATGTACCTTGTTTTTTGGTGATTGAAAAACCTAATGCCAGAGAAAGGCTCTTAAGACAGAGACCCTGACAGAGGTCAGCCTGTCTTGCTCCATTTCTAGAAAAGCTCATTTGGGGAAAGCTTCCGCATCTCAGCCTGGTAACTCAGAACCATCTAGAAGTTTGTGGGAGTTGGGGCATAATAATCAATGTAAATGGCACACCTTGCTGGAGAAGGGTTCCCTCTGTCTCTGCCCTTTTCTCTTATTTATCCCTCCCTCCTTCCTTCCCTCTCCCTGTCTCCTCCCTTCCCTCTCCCAAACAGCCATTATTGTCCTCATGAGTTATATGCTGAGAAATGGCTGGATGTGGCCCTTGGGGACAAGCTTCTGGCTTAGGTCCCCCAGACCCCTCTCCTGCCCCCATCTCTCCTTTCTCTTCTTGCTGGTGTGTCTGAGCTGTAGCTACACTGTGCGTTCAAAAGCTGCCTCAGCCCTACCTCAGGAGTTCAGGATCCCAGGGAAGAGGTGCAGCTTTATTAAAGCAGAGGTTTCCATGGGAAACAGGGCTTTGAGAACCAAGTCCTTCTGGGAGGATGCTGTGTGCTGTGCCTCCAGGGAGAAGCAGCCAAGCAGCGTTTCCTGTCTGACCCCTCCCAACACATACATGCACACACGCATGCACACATGTACATACACGCACACACTTCTGCACCCCAGGCAAAAGTGTCTAATGAATATCTCATGGCCACAATACTGATCCAGATTCCTCAAAGGCAGTTGGTAATTATTAAATTGAGAGGATCATGAAGCACTTTTCTAAATTTGAAAGGCTTATCAAGGGTAGATCAGGAACAGGAAAAGTTAATAATTATAAACCCATTTCCATAGAAATAGACTTATTAGCAAGCATGCCAGCTGCCTGAAAATAAAAGACCTCCTTCTGGTTTGAAGGAAATGACTTAAAAATTTGTGCATAAAAGTGACTTTGCATTGATTGTTATTCTGTTTGTAGCTGGACTTGGGCAGATTCCTGTAGCTGGCCCAGCTCATGGGCTGGACAGTCAGAGAGGAGCAGGAAGGGCCCACCGATGAAGGAGGCCCTCTCACACAGACCCTGCTCCTTTCTCTACCCCCAAGACCAGACTGCAGATTTAACAGGATTAAATTGCTGACAACACAGAGAGTTATGCCCCTTTTCTTCTCTTGCTGGGTGGGGGCGGGGTGGTGGTGTTGGTCTCACTTTCTTGGGAATCACTTTACTAAATTCTACTGAATGCTGAGAACCCAGGAAGTATTAGAAGCAAGCTCCCAAGTCATGATTCCAAGCACAGTGCAGCCCAAAGAGGAATCAAAGTTCTGGTCTAATACAACTGAGCGTCTTTTGTAGGAGGAGATTCAACAGATGGAGAAGTGAGGACTTCTTCTAACCATAGAGGAGACTTTAGGCTGTTGTGTGGTAGGAGGAGAATGACGGTAGCTGAAGAGAAGGCCTCAGTCCCTAAGACCCTGAAATCCCTTCGGCAACTCAGCATCAGCCCCTTAGCCTCCCCTTTCTCTGCTTTCTCACTAAAGAAGCCTGGGTAAACCGGGGTCCCCTGGTGGGTGGGTCCCTTGGTAGGGTTTGCCTGTCCGTCTTCCCATGAGACCGGTATTCTTTATGCAGAACACATTGTCTTCCCCATGCAGAACACCATGACAAATAGATCCTTGAGGACTCAGAGCTCCCCTGTCCCACACCCAGCTTAACCTCAGCTGAAACACCTGGCTGTGTCATTTTAATACATTTATATTTCAATTTGAATAGCTATTTCTAGCTAGTGGCCACAGTATTGGACAGAGCAGTATCAGAGAGTTTCTTAAAACCTTGGCTGCATAGAAAAGGTTGGACATGACCAATTCTGTATGGAATCTAGTGTGCTTCTGGTTTGGGAGGAATTCCGTATTTGGGCAGATCAGTTCTGTCCATATCATCATTATGTGGGAACGTTGCCTCTGGTACCTCTCGGATGCCCCTAACCATCCACTTGTGGTTCTCGCCCTCTTCTCCAATCAGCAAGTGGGAGGGGAGCTGTCCAAGGTAGGATTCTGGTGGGCCAGCAACAAGCCCAGGTTCATTTCACAACTCTTTCCTCCCAGACTAAGAGTTGGAGGTTCAAACTGCAGACCCTACCCACAACCTCAAAGGCAGGGCAGAGGCTTCCAGGCCCAGTTTGGTCCAGGCAGTAAAGGAATGGGTTGATTGCTGTGACTCAGGCCTTGGGGAACCATGAATTGGTGACTCTGCTGTCACATTCCTTGGCTGGGGATAAAGGTAGCATCAGGGTAATGGAAAAGGCTACACAACAGGAGTCCTTCACAAATCCTGTGCTGGATGGCTTCTGTTTTAACTCTTTGTTCAGTGACTTCTGCTGTTGGTACAGTAGACTACAGTTTACATCTCAGTCAATGATGAGATGCTCTCTGTGTTCAAAAATATTGAGAATGACGCTGGTCTTTTTCACCTATATTTGTACCAACCACCTTCTTCCTCTCCTCCAAACAAACATTAAGGCAGGTGGATTCTCACATCTCATTCCATTCCAGGCTCACAAAATGAGAAGACACTATAGCTTCTTATGTGTTGATCATAGTTATGTAGTAAACCAAGAAGTTATGGAGTCGTTCCCATGCTTGATCTCATGATGCTCCCACCAGCCCATGAGGTCACCACTGTGCTCTCCTAATCCTTTTTTTAAGAGATTTTATTTAATTATTCATGAAAGACACTGAGAGAGAGGCAGAGACATAGGCAGAGGCAGAAGCAGTCTCCCTGCAGGGAGCTCTATGTGGGACTCACACCCCGTGCTGAAGGCAGATGCTCAACCACTGAGCCACCTAGGTGTCCCTGTGCTCCCCAGACCCTAAAGCCCAGAGTTTGAACCACTGGTCCATAGACACACAGCCAAGTAAAAGTAGAGGTGGCCAGAATCCAAGGTATGCCTCAGGAATGGAGTGATGGTAACACCAGACTAGAGCCTCAGGGCCCCTTGCTGTGTGTGGTCCTGGATGGCAGTGTGTGCACACATGGGGGTGGGGAGAGCTGTCTGACCTGCTCATTCAGGGAAGAACAGTCTGCCTCTCATGAGCCCTGCAGATGGATTGCCCACCCATTTGGAGGTGTGAGCTACCAGCGGGCAACTTATGACTTAGGCTGTGTCGACACTGCCATATGCTATGTTTTTTTTTTTTTAATTTTATTTTTATTTTATGATAGTCACAGAGAGAGAGAGAGGCAGAGACACAGGCAGAGGGAGAAGCAGGCTCCATGCACCGGGAGCCCGATGTGGGATTCGATCCTGGGTCTCCAGGATCGCGCCCTGGGCCAAAGGCAGGCGCCAAACCGCTGCGCCACCCAGGGATCCCTGCCATATGCTATGTTGAAGCTGGCAATCACTCTCAATTAGCAAGGAGGAATGTGGCAATATATCACCTCCTTGATGTCTACTGAGCCTCAGGTTTTAAATTGCACTTTGACATGTGTTTTCCAGGGTAAACGGCTCCTTCTATGAGATCTTGCAAGTGGACTTTGGGATTGACAACAGCAGCGGCCTGGCTGGGGCCCAGCCCATTACCTGGCAGGTGGAATACCCGGTGGAGGACTCCATGAGTGAGCTGGCCGTCTCTGAGATCTTTGTCAGCCAGACATCCTTTGTGGGCATCGTTCCTCTTGCAATGGTGAGAAATTTGAGCTTCATAAGAGGGTCACAGAGAAGTTTTCTTTGAATGCTTTTCAAAGAAACATGAAGCATTTTATAATATGTTGTTTTTAAAAATGCACTTGAGTTGAGGATATTTAAGTAAGGGAAATGCACTTAGATTACATTTTATTTACCTACCTTCTGTAATACTTTTTTGGAAACTTTTTGGGGTCTACCATAAATCCCTTTTCCTTTGTGGATATTGGTGAATGTTTTCTGTGGGCTCCTGCTCTTTATTGTCTCAATCTGTGCCTGCACGAGGACCAAGTGCTGCACTGCATGGAATGCACCCTGTAGAGGGATGGCCCTCTACACAATGAGCAAGCAGCCCTGGTCACTCAGCTTCACCAGGCAGGTCCCAGGTAGTGTGGGGACGGGCAAGCTGAAAAATGTGAGTAGACTGAAGCAGCCTTGGTAGGAACTGACCATCTGAGGCTACATAAGGTCGCAGAGTCCATAAAACCACTTGGGTTTCTGCCTCTGGCCTGGAGGTGACCAGATTTTTCTGCTGAGCTTGGTTGAAGTTCCATTCACGACCAGGCTCAGGCCACATCTGAGAACAGGGTCATGCGTGAGGTTCCAGAATGTGAACAGGGTAGTGCTGGTGAGCCATAGGCATGCTCAATACCTGGAGTGCCACATTCCTAGTACCCTGTTCTGCACTAGAAATGTTCAGTGGAATGTGAAATATTCTGCATTGCTTTGACCTTCCTGTCAGCACCCAGATATTCTAGGGCAGTCCATGGGTGCTTCTATCATCCATACTCAAGCTGGATACCAGGGTTAAGATCTTTGCAAATGAAACCCTACATCCTGCAATGAAGTCTGCAATTTCCATATCTATGTCTTACTCTGGTCTATGCCCAGTGTCTCCACGCCTGGCTCCTTGTCTTCAACTTGACAGTTAAAAGGCACACCCCACCCCCACCCCACCCCACTGACAGAACTGGCTCTCTGTCCCCCTCCCCCATCACTCTCTGTGCACATCACCACCTGGTTTCATCTTCTTCATAGATGTTATCAGTGTTGGAGTTTCAGGGTTCCCCATCCATCTGCTCCCCACAAGGTGGGGTTCATGAGGGTAGGGTTCTGGTCAGTTGTGTCCACATCTGTGACTCCAGCATCTAGAACAGTGCCTGAGACTGTTAATACATGCTGCGAATGAATGAACCCTGGCTTCAATCCAAGCTCTTGGGCTCACCTAGTTCCTGAAAGTTAGCACCACGGGAGTTTACCCACACCTACAATGATCTGCATTTTGGTTTTGGTGCAGCCACAGTCAGCAGGAAATATCCCCGTTAAGGGGCAGGGATGGATGGATGTGGATTTTAAGACAGAATGAGACTATTCTGATTCTCTAGGTTGACATAGATCTGGCCAAGTCCTTATAATTTTGTTCTATGCTTATTGTGTAGCACTTGATTCCCTGGCGATTCTGTAGCCTCCCGTTGCTACGGAGGATAGAATTCCATGGGAGAACGTGGTGCTCTCCTCTGATGGACATGTGTCAGTTCTGGGAGGAGCTGGAAAGGAGGCTGGACCGAGGACAGGAGTCTAGACCCATGATTGGCTGAGTGGAGACAGCCTGCTACCTCTGTAGAAAAGGTTTTATCAGAACACGGCCCTGACCATTTGATAGGGGTTGTTTATGGCTGCCCTAATGCTGTCATAGCACACTCAGCATTTGCAGCAGCGTAGCAAAACAACTTTAGTTTTAGCATCTTGCCCTAAGTCCCCTTCTGAGAAAAGTGTGGGGCATACAGACAATTATTCTGTTGTTATTGGGCTCCAGGGGATATCCTTCAGGGGATGTGCTGGTTGTCCTGTCTCCTGGGGTAACTTTTCCTGATGAGATGCTCAAATGCTCTTTGGCTGTGGTGACATCCTCTCATGATGCTGCCTGAAGACCTAACTTGGGGCTCCAGGCTGACTGGGATGTCCCTCACAGGGTCAGGGCTCATAGTGGGGACAGGACACAACCAAGGGGAGGAGGAGATAAGGAGATGTGAAACCCACACAGGAAGGAAGGGCCTGGGAGAGCAGGAAAAGCAGCCATTTGGAAGGTGGTCCTCGCTCACAGGTGGGCAGGGGCCAGCGCTTCCCTGGGGGGGAAGCGCTCCCGTGTCTTACTGACAGGTGCCTGGGCACCGGCTGTGGAGTCCAGTGGATGCCAGCTGTTTGCTGGCCTTGCCACACCGGGGTGTGGAGGTTTCTCCGCTGCCCCCCCCCCCCCCCGCCCTTAGGTGCTGTCCCAACGCCTTGCTGCTCCGGGGAGGCTGGGTTTACGCGTGTTGTGCGCACAGCATGTCCCTGACTATTAGTCGCTTCATGGTGCTCCCTGGCTGCCTGATCTTTACTTAGGGCCGGTTTCTCGCCTTTGGCTTTGGTTCTTCTTGGCAGGGAAGCGGCAGGGTTGGATGGTTGAGTGGTGCTGTGTATCACCACCTGTCTCTTGGATCACTGTGAAGAGTGGCTCTGAAATGACCTCAAGGGACCAGAGCTACTTAGTAAAGTTTGCCTTAGGACCGAAGTTGGTAGTTCGTCTTTTTGTAGGCAGCTGTTTACCTGTTCTCCAAACCCACAACTGCCAAGGGGTGGCCTTAGGGGTGAAGTCCGCCCACCGTGCTTAGCAGAAGTGCCTTCTATATGCTTCTTCCTTTTCCCTCTTCCTGCGCACCTCCTCCCCCACTTCCCTCACCCCTTCTTCCCCTCCTCCCTTCTCACCTCCGCCTCCTTTCTTCTTTCTCAGAGACAACTAACTCTGGACGAGTTCTGCATGATGTAAGGATGCTACATGACTTGTCCGCGAAACATACACAAATGGGCTCGTTATTGTATCAGTTTGTACCCAGAAGCAGAAACTGCTTTAGTGGTTAGAACATAGTGATGTAAGCGCAAGCACTCAGCTTCACAGGAATTAGAACAGATGAGAAGCCAGACACAGAACAGAAGAGAGCCAGGAACTCTGGCAAGAACGAGTCTACCTGGCCCAGTCTGGAGGAGGTGTTCCCGGGAACCAGGGCCGTGTCACCTCCAGAGCCAGAACCTAGCAGGGAATGGATCTGAAGGTGTATGGGCTCTGGGTGGTGCTGTCATCTTGCTGGTTTTATTGTACAATATGACTCTGATATCCTGTATGTGTCCTGTTCATCAGAAGCATGTGCATTGGGGACATAGCCACACTGAGTCCCGGGCCTGCCCAGGATGCTCCACTGCCTGGTTTCATGTCTCTTTTCACCTTAAAGGTAAACTCAGAGAGGCCTCCCCTGGCCACTCAGGCCAAATTAGCTCTTTCCTCCTTATATTCTTGCTCACTTGCCTCTTGTAGATCATATCACTGTCTGCAATTCATGCTTATTTATATGATTGTGCACATCTATTTCAGTCAGGTTCCAATCATGAGAGAGAATTTGGACAGGGAAAGTTTAATATAAAGGATTATTAATCTTGACGGAGACTGGAATAATGAGGGATTGCTCAGTAAGAAGTGAAGAGAACTCTAAAGAGTGTCTGAGTGGCAGACATCAGGAGCATCCACTGCCCTAGGGCTGAGCTACAGCGCCCAAGGAACAAGCCTCCCTACCCTGAGATCCAGCCATTGTTGGAGATGGGATGGTCACAGCTCACTGAACATGGAGAAGTTGCTCAGGTAACATGCTGGTAGAACTTGCTAGAATTCTGAAGACTGTTCTTTACAGAGAGGTATCTCATCAGAGGCACGAAACCACTCAAGGTGGTTGCTGGGTAGAGCCTCTGGGTGCTGGGCGCAGCAGGAGCTGGACACAAGGGGAGCCACCTGTGCTGGAGAAGTCATGGTGCATGCACCACAGAAGCCTGCAGACGGTGTATGCCAGAGTCAGAAGGCAAGCCCTTTCTCTTTGAAACATCTCTCCAGTGCCCTGACAAACTTCAACATTTTGACCTTTTGGCAAAGGAAAAATATTAAGGGTTCAGATCCATTTTCACAGAACAGGTAATGAGGGGTGAATTTGGAGCAATAGCTTGATAAGCAGAAACCAGATCACAAGCTCCTGGATGGGAGGGATTGCGTTTGCTCTGACCACCAGGGGCTTTCTCAGCACCCTGCATGGTGCCTAGTATATGGTATTTGCTCAACAAACGAATGGATGGTTATATTTACCATCAGAACCTAAGTCCACTGGCTGGAGCTCTCATTTGCTGTGCTAATTTCCTTTTACCTCAGTAATAAATCACTACAAACTTAATGGTTTAAAGCAACACAAAGTCATCATCCTGTAGTCTGGAGGCCGAAATGGGTCTCACTGGCCTAAAACCAATGTGTCAGCAGGACTGCGCCCTTCTGGAGGCTGGGAGGGAGGATCCATTTGTTGCCTTTTCCAGATATTGGAAGCCATCTGCACATCCCTTGGCTCCTGGCTCCATGTCACTCAGACATCTGCTTCTGTCATTACATATCCTTTCTGACATTCTTGCCTCCCTTGATTCCTTATAAAGACCCTTGCAATGACATTGGGGCCACTTGAGTATTAGCCAGGAAAATCTCCTCACTTCAAGAGTCTTCACTTTTCCTCTTGCCATGCAAAGTAACATATCCATAGATCCTGGGAATTGTGATGTGGACATCCATTAGTTTCCTCCCATTCTCCTTGTGTGGGATCCCAGTCTCCCCTTTCTGGTCTTCCTCAGGCTGTTTACCTAGAACTCTTCACCCTTCTTCCCATGATCTGTTCTTTTGTTGCCACCCTAGCTCTTTTCTGTGATGTTTTCTGGACCCTAGGGTCATCCCCCACCAACCCACCACCTCTGACATTCCAGGCTTCCGGGGACACTGCCCTCCTGTCATCAGGAAAGTACTCTGCACTCTGTTCTTCCAGGGGGATCCCACAGTAGAGCCACCACAGGCACAGCAATCACAAACCTCTTCATTTACGCACACAGCCTTTCCTCCAGGAGGATATGGGCCACCCCAGGTCTGGGGCTAGGAAGGCTCCTGTG